CACATTTTCCTGACATAGTTAAAGAGCAATGTTTCGTTAATGTTCTGTTTATAATATGACTAAATATGATTGACAGCTGAACCTTGGATTCATTGATTAAACTTTTTCTGGTTAACCTTTTTGTTTTCTCTAGAGTCAGTAATTGCTTCATTTGGGAAGGGGGGGCTTCTTTTTCTGTGAATCTAGGGTGAATTCCTCCCTAATCCTCCGATGACAAAGAATTTCCTTCGTAAGTTCCAGCACACCATCTAATCTACACAGCTGACTTCTTGGGCCTGTTTACTCCAGAGCTTCTGTCCTGAGACTCCACGCTGCACGGCATTCCGCTGCGTAGCTATCATGCCGGAATTTCCCTTCGTTCTCAGACAGGGAATAAGCTTTGTTTTTTCCTCTGTTTTCCAGATTTGGCGCTTTTCTCTTTTGGATTATTTTGTCATTTCAGACAAAGTATGCATAGGAAGCAAACTGGGTTCCGTTCCAATAGGAAGCATGTGGTCAAGGGGAAGGGTGATTAAAGAGAGAAGGATTAAAGAAGGACACATTTTACAGAGTGTGGGCAAAGTTAAAGAAAATCAACAGGGAAAGAAAAGGAAAAAGAAAACCAACAGGGCCGACAGGTTGAATGGTGCTTAAGGCAGTTGGATTCCACATGACCAACTCCTCAGTTCGAGTCCTGGACCCAGTGGCTTGAAAAACACACCAGGTGTGTGTGTGTGTGTCCAAAAACCCAACAGGAAAATGGAGGAGAAGGAAAGTGGCATGCCATTCCCCCGAGGGTGCTCTCTCTCTCTCTCTTGCTCTCTCTCTCCAGGGAGTCCACAAACCCTCTAGTAAAATCATAAAACACAGAAAAAAAGGAAGGGAGAAAGAGACAAAGAAAAGAAGAAAGAAAGAAAGAGAAGGGTCGACATACCTTAGAGCCATCAACAGCAGAGAGCTGAAAGGGCAATGGGAGAGGGTATTTCCAGAACATGGGAGAAGGCCACTCTCACAGGCACGCCAGGGAGGGAAGCAATGGCTCTGCCTGTAAGGAGAGGGCAGAGAAAACAAGTAAATCAAGTACTCAGATTTAAAGCCCAAGGAGAGGGCCAGCAGGTGGCATGTGGTTAAGGCAGCTAGAACCCACATGGCTGACTACGTAGTTCAAGTCCTGGACCTGGTGGCTTGAAAATCACGCTGGGCACATGTGTGTGTGTGCGCGTGTGCCCAAACCCCCGAAGAGGAGAATGGAGAAGGGATTGCAGCATGGCCGTTCCCCCTGGCGGCGATTTCTCTCTTTCTCACTCACTCTCTGATGAGTGCATGTGCCTTATAGCAACCTTAAAAAATAAAAAAGTCCAAGGAGAGAGATGATCCAGAGATGGGGAGCATAGCAGATGGTGTTAGGACTCCTCCAGTTATTCCAGTTTTCTGAAATCCATAGATGCAATGCAACCGAACAGTGCCAAGCAGACACTGGGACAGGGAGGAAACTCTGATGTGGAGCCTTTTTTTTTTTTAAAGGTTTTTGCCATATGGTGTATGCACTTGCCAGAGAGGGACAAACAGAGACAGTGGGAGGGAAAGTGAGAAGTCAGCCCCCAGGGGGTGCATGGCCATGCTGCAATCCTTTCTCCTCCATTCTCCTCCTGGGATTTTGGACACACACGCACATGTGCCTGGCATGATTTTCAAACCACTGGGTCCAGGACTCAAACCATGGTCAGTCGTGTGAGAGTCCAGTGCTTTCATCACTATGCCACCTGCTGGTAGGATGTGGAGCCATTTTACGGCATTATGGAATAGTGAATATTTTTTTTTGCAGGAGTGGTCAAGGCAAATTTCAAGACTTTGAAAAAAATATTTGTACTTGGGAAGGAGAGAGGTTTGCTTTGATCATATCCTGAGACCCTGGGATGTGCATTCCCTTTCCTCTGCTGTTCATAATGGTCCAAAGAGCTACTACTCTGTTAGATAAACTAGGCTGTGCTATTGTAAGCAAACAGCACGGCGACTTCAAACTATGAGGCTTCTTTCTTTTTTCTTTCTTTCTTTCTTTCTTTCTTTTTTAAAATTATTTTATTGAACTTTATTTATTTAAATTTGACCAGAGGGAGAGAGAAGGATGTGGAGTGAGAAAGCAAGCCACCAGGTCCAGGACTCGAACCACGGTCGGCCACATGGGAATCCAGCACCCCCAACCACCATGCCACCTGTTGGCCCCAACAAGGCTTATTTCTTGCTCATGCTATGTATACTAAGTGGGGTGGCAGAGGGCTCTTGCTTATCAGCTACGCAGAAATCCAGACCAATGAAGCAGCCGACATCTTGAAAATATTGATAGCTGACATGCCTGAGGAAAGGAGAATCAGAAAACTCTCAAAATACCCCAGCAGATAAATGCCTCAGGCACCACGTGACCTCCCTTCTGTTCAAACTCATTGGCCACACCCAGCCATAAGAAGGGGATTTGCAGGATGAAGGAATAAAGATGAGGAGGACTTGGACTAAGGTACAATCAACACAGTTAGTTAAGTAATTTTTTTTTTTTTGGAGAGATTTTCACTATAGGGCGCATGCGCTCGCCAGACAGACAGAGAGAGACATAGAGACAGAAAGCAAGAAATCACCCCCCAGGGGGGATCGTCATGCCACAATCCCTTCTCCTCCATTCTCCTCTTGGGATCTTGGGCATGCACACACACGCGCCCGGTGTGAGTTTTAGGCCACCGAGTCTGGCATGTGAACCACGGTCAACTATGTGGGAGTCCAGCGACATAGCCATTATGCTAACTGCTGGTTCCCAATTAGTTAGGTAATCTTGACGTCTTGTTTCATCAACCAAAAAATGACTATGGTAATATCTACTTTGATGGGTTTTCTAGGGAAAAGGATCTTCACGAACTTGTGTGTTTATTAAAGTCAAGTCCTCTTGGCATGCCTAGAGGAATGAGGTTTAGACAGAGAGTTAAATTGTTCTAATTAATAAAGTGACCAAGAATTTCAATTTCCCTCTGATGAGATGAAAGTTTTGAGGGAAGTCTGGTCTTAGGATAAAGGAAAGAAATGGAGGAGAGGGTTTCGTTAGAAATAATTTAACTCTGGGACCAGCAGTTAGCATAATGGCTATGTCCCTGGACTCCCGTGTAGTCGACCAGGGTTCAAGTTCCAGACCCGGTGGCTTAAACTCATGCTGGGTGAGTGTGCGTGCATGCCTAAGATCCTGAGAGGAGAATGGAGGAGAAGGGATTGCAGCGTGGCTATCCCCCCTGGGGGGGTGATTTCTCACTTTCTGTCTCTCTGTCTCTCTCTGTCTATCTGGCGAGCACACATGCCCTCTAGCAAAAACCTCTCCAAAAAAAAAAAAGAAAAAAGAAATAAAGATAACTCTGATCATTTGATTTTATCAGCTTCCCTGACCCATTATTCCCAGGGCAGCCTGGGTGACTTAAAATTTGTCATAGGATGCATATATTGATACTTGCAAGAAAGAGACAGAGAGAGCAGAAAGCACTCCCCCAATGGGGTGTAGCCACACCACAATCCTTTCCAATCCTTTAGCCTTCTGGGATTTTGAGTATGTGTGCCTCGTGTATTTTTCAAGCCAATGGAGCAGAGATTTGAACTGCAGTTGGCCATATGGGATTCAGCAGCATTTCCCACTTAGGCTATGGGATTGGCCCCAGGGTGATCTTTTTAAACCACAAATCGGATCATATTGTTCTACTTTCTCTCAGTGCGGCGCCTGATACTTAAAACTTTCTCAGTACTAATTTGCTGGGTGAATGAATGGATGGATGGAAACACAAGTCAGATGGCAGATGAATTCCTAATGAAAAGGATATGGGACCAGCAGTTGGTGTAATGGCTATGTCACTGGACTCCCATGTATTTGACTGCGGTGGCTTAAACTCACTCGTGCCCAAGATCCCAAGAGAATGGAGAAGGGATTGCAGCATAGCCAGCCCTCCTGGGGGGTGATTTCTCACTTTCTGTCTCTTTTTCCGGCGAGTGCACCTGCCCTATAGCAAAAACCTCTCAAAAAAGAAAAAAAAAAAAAAAAGAAAAGGATAGTCACCAACAAGTTCTCAGTAGCAAGGGTGGCTTTGGATAATGATGTTTAATTATTCTTTTTAAGTACAGTAGTTTCCTATTCTGTGCTGTGTTGTAATCACCCCCCACACCCAAAAACCTTCAGTGAACGAACGTCTGCTACACCAAACTGTCCTGCTTTTGGATGAAAGAAACAAATTGCCTAGGCACCAGGCAAAACAACGTCTAAAGATGACAGTAGTCACAAAAAGAAAGTTAATTAATATCAGTGGGAACAGGCATTCCAAGCGCGTGATAAGCAGAATCTTCTGATAATTTAGGGAGGGTGGGGACAGGAGGGTGCATCTGGTAAAACGTCCAACACTCTGCGACGCTGACCCACATGGGAGGGTTCCGAGTCCCCACCCAGAGGCCTCCCTGGTATACCCTTCTGGTACACCAGGCACAGGTGTGCCTGTGATGCGGGGCTAGCTGAGGCAGGGAGTGGATCCTGGCTTTGGCAGCCTCCGGGAGGGTGTTGTATCTCTGTCTCTCTTTTTGTCTCTCTCATTCATGGAATAAATACATTAAGAAAAAGCGGTTTGTACAGTGCCTGGCACGTAGTAAGAGCTCAGTAAATGTTAGTTGTTGGTTTCTGTCACTTTCTTCCATTCCCTCCACTCCCTTTCTGCCAGGCTCCATTCATTCTTTTCCAAGGACATGCAGTGGGCGTGTCCACTCCTCCTCCCGCCCCCATCACAAGCCCCGCCCCCAGCTTCTCCTCGGATTGGTTGCTGAGAGGCGGAGTCGAGCGAGGAGCCCAGTGCGGCGCGGTGGGGGCGGGGCGCATGCGCGGGTTGGGCTGGGTGGAGGTGGAGAGGAAGAGCTGCCGGAAGCAGGCGGCGGAGGTGGTGGCAGAGCAGGCGGCAGCTGCCAGGGAAACCGAGGCGCGGGACAGGCAGGCCGGGGGTCGTCTCTGCGTCCGGCACCCAGGAGGCCCGAGGGCTCCCGTCTACCTGGGCTGAGGGTGGCTGGTTGGGCTGGGTGGAGGTGGAGAGGAAGAGCTGCCGGAAGCAGGCGGCGGAGGTGGTGGCAGAGCAGGCGGCAGCTGCCAGGGAAACCGAGGCGCGGGACAGGCAGGCCGGGGGTCGTCTCTGCGTCCGGCACCCAGGAGGCCCGAGGGCTCCCGTCTACCTGGGCTGAGGGTGGCTGGTCCAGCTGCCTTCCTTGGAACTTGGGCCTTTCCCTAAGCCCGCCAGGGCTCCCCTGCTCAGGAGGTGCCCCTGAGCGGGGGACCCGAAGTCCTCAACCTCGGACTGAAGCAGGGGTTCCTGGGGGCGAGGAGGGCACGTCGCCCTCTGCCCCCGCCGGCACGCTGGCCATGACGGGCAAGTCGGTGAAGGACGTGGATCGGTACCAGGCGGTCCTGGCCAACCTGCTGCTGGAGGAGGATAACAAGTTTTGTGCGGACTGCCAGTCTAAAGGTAGCGCATCCCGCGGGCGGGCGAGGGGTGCAGCTGCGGGGCCGCCCCGCGAGTGGCCTGTGTGGGGAGGGGGTTGCTGGAGCGTAGGCCGCCCGTCTTCTGGAAATGGCATCGCGAGCTGCTAGGTTTTCTTCAGCTCGGGGATGGATGTGGGGAGAGGTTGCGAGGCGTGTGTGTGTGTGTGTGTGTGTGTTTGTGTGTGTCGTGTTAATAGTGGGGATGGAACTGGCCTGGTGTGCTCAGGTGTGAATGTCTGTGTTTCAGGGCTCTGAAGGAGTTCTGAGCTGAGGGTCACTTCAGAGCGTCCAGCATTTCACTTGCAAAGCTGGGGATAAACTGCAGTGTGTGTGTGTGTGTAGAGAGAGAGGGAGAGAGGGAGAGAGAGAAAGGGGGGAGGTGAGGAGGGAGGTGAGATGACGGAGAGGAAAACTGCTTGAATGGTTTTAAAGGTGCCTGCTGTTTGGTTAGCAACTCCTGTCATTTTGCAGCCTCGCTGAGCTTCGGCAGCGCTGAGGTGCCTTTCCTCCTGGATGGGTGCAGTGCGAAGCTGCCTTATGCAGTGACACAGTGCGGATTTCTAGGCAGCCCAGCCTGGGCTTGTGGAGTGCGTTGGAGGCCTGGTGTGTGTGTGTGGTGTCCAAAACTAGCAGGTTCTGGCCGTAGAGCAGGGTCCCTTCCATCAGTGGTAAGAGAAGGAAGCAAGGAATTCATCGAATTCGTGGCATCCGCGATGCTTACACCTCTAAAGGTGAAATGTGATCATGGCAAATCGGCAGAACCATTTCGTCTTTGTTTTCTGTGCCCTCAGATTCACTATGTGATACCGTTACAAATCGATGTTCTAGGAAAGCCTGGTTGTTAGTGAAATGATTGCACTTGATGTTTATAGATACAAGCTTTGTTTCCTTATCGTCTTTTTGAATTCTCAGGCATATAATTGAAGAGTTGGGAACGTTCTTTTCCCTTTAGTTGGGGCAGAGTGGGTGGTCCTGTTTGGGGGGCTGTTACTCGTTTACTTTTACTCCTAACACAGTGGATTTGTCAGGACTGCCGGCTGTGTGGCATTCTGAGCATGTATTATAATAAAAGATTTGCATGCATTCATCCATTTTGAGGAAGGAAGTACATGTTCAATGGGAGCTTTCACTTAGTTACCTTTTATTTTAGAAAAAATAAAGTTATGTAAAGAGACTACGGAAATGATATATTGATTTAGACATCTAGTAATAAATGATCCTGACCTCTACCAGTGGATAAACGCAATGTGTTATTAGGAAGGCAGATCCCCACATTTCTTCCTTGAATTTTTGCATTAGCAAGGATTCATTTTATAAAGAACTTCAGAACCAATTTATGTTCATTGCTTATATGTTGGTTCATGTTTGATCTTGGGCTAGATTTATTGGAAATTTTTATAGGTTAAAAATTTAGGAGTGTAGGGACCAGCAGTTAGCATAATGGCTATGTGGCTGGAGTCCCATGTAGTTGGCTGTGTTTGAGTCCTGGACCCGGTGACTTAAACTCATGCCGGGCGCGTATTTGTGCATGCCCAAGAACCCAAGAGGAGAATGGAGGAGAAGGGATTGCGGTGCGGCCCTCCCCCCAGGGGGTGCTTTCTCATTTTCTGTCTCTCTGTCTCTCTCTTTCTGGTGAGCGCATGTGCCCTATAGCAAAAACCTCTCCAAAAAAAATTTGGGAGTGTATTTTGACTTTACTCAAATTGCCTTATGTCCTTAGTTGACAGATCTTGAGTCACAGTGAAGCAACCCACTGGAGTGAGCATTGCTAGTTTTGGGGAGTCAGATGCCATTTTGATGACTAATACCACTCCCTCCTCCCCATTTCTCATATTATTCTTACACTTACTCATATTCTGGTAAAATACAGCATATGGAAGACAGGATGATTTGCCACTTCTTCCTCTGAATTTTCCATTGCTCTTTACCAATAGCTTTCCTGGGGATCAGGCCATGAAACATTAGTTTACTTTTTTTTAAGAGAGATTTTTGCTATACAGGCACGTGCATGCACCAGAGAGATAGAGACAGGGAGACAGAGATGAAAAATCACCCCCCCACCCCAGGGTATGGCCATGCCACATTCCGTTCTCCATTCTCCTTTCGGGATTTTGGGCATGCGCGCCCATGTGCCTGCTTGAATTTTAAGCCCCTGGGTCCAGGACTTGAACCACATGGTCAACTATGTGGGAGTCCAACAACATAACTGTTATGCCATCTGCTAGTCCCAGTTTTTTGTTTTGTTTTATTGTTCTGTTTATTTATTTATGTATTTTTGGTAGGGCATGTGTGCGCACCAGAGAGAGATAGAGGGAGACGGAAAGTGAGAAATCACCACTTGGGATGGCCACATCATAATCCCTTCTCTCGTAGTCTCCTCTCAATATTTTGGGCACACATGCCTAACATGTTTTTCGAGACACCAGTTCTGGGACTTGAACCGTGGAGTTGGTCATGGGGGATCCAGCTCCTCGACAACTACGTTACCTGCTAGCCCAAAACACTGAGTTATTCTTAATGAAAACTAGGAACTGCTTGTCTGGAAATTTTATTAACCACTGTCGATGACAGAATCCCGGATCCTGAGACTTCTTTTTCAAAAGTTAGTTTTCCATTTTGCCATGGTGTCTTCAGTGACTTGGCCATTATATTAAAAGTGAGATGATGTTATGCCAGTCATTTTTAAATTATGTTAAATGGGCCTTTTTTGGGGTCTGTTGTGTCCAGCATGTGAATTATCTAGCACATTCCATCCATTCAACTCTTCTCATTCATTTTCCCCTCTCCTCTTTTTAATGCTGGTTTTCGTCGTTATCATGTGGACAACTGTCAGACGGTGAAGGGAAGAGACACTTGCATCAAATAGGTTGTGACTTGTCCTGATCAAAGTTACATTTCATTGAAGGAGGAATTTAAAAACTTGGCTAAAAGTAAGATTTGGGTTCGAGTTTATTTACCTGTATTTTTCATGTCCTTTTTTAGAAAACTGTGAGCCTCCTGTACAGTGTGTGGTGTGTGATTTCTCGTCCACTAACACCCAGTCAGATGAGGTAGCCTGGACCACAGGCAGTCCTTGAGCAGGTATTTTTGTCATGTCCCAGAACAACTCCTTGACAATGACTCTTTAAAAATGAACAAACAAACCAAAAAAACTGATACTTTTTTTTTTTGAAGAATGATATTTCTTGGTTAGTTTGCTTTTAAAAGATAGAATTAAAACATCAGAATAGAGAACAAACATGGGTTCTTTTTAATTAGTAGAAGATGTGATGGTCCTGGGGTTTTTAACCCTCTTGAACACAAAGTTCACCATTTCTGGGACCTCTAAGGCATAGGAGAGAGATCAGCGTGAGGACGGAAGCTGCTTTGATACTGCTGTGACTTGTTCTGGGCCCAAGATGCGGCTTCCTCATCACCCAAGCTCTCAAGTTGACGTGACCTTGAGGGTACATTTTTGGACTGACTTAAAGTAGTGATAGAACAGAAGACAAAGAATGCTGAAGATTCCAGGTATGTCAGTGGTAACTGCGAGTTGAGTCTGGATTCCATTTTTGCTACCATCCCTGGAGTGAATCATATCTCCTTTGAACTTGGGGTTGTACTGGTCTGAGGTTTTGACTTTGCTCTCCAGTTCTGAATTTTAGTAGTGTGCTTAGAATACCTCCCAAGTAACCTTTTTAGAGACTGTGGTTTAAACCAAACACTATCTTACTTACCATGAAAGGATCTACCTTTCTGATGACCTGAGTCCTTGTGACTGTGTTGGGACACGCCTTTGTTAGTGTCAAGGTTCGTTAGATATTGCGAGCTGTTTGATGGGCAAAGAATTAGAATGGAAGACATTTATTTAGTTTTAGCCTTTGCTATAGGTATGTGCTCTTGCCAGAGAAACAGAGAGAAAGTGAGAAATGACCCCCTTAAGGGAGATGGCCATACCACAGTCCCTTCTCTTCTACTCTCCTCTTGGGATTTTGGACACACATGCACATGTGCCCTGTGTGATTTTTTAAGCTACTGGATCTGGAACTCAAACTGTGCCGTCAGCCTTGTGGAATCCAGTGCCTTCACTTCCACACCACCTGCTGGTCCTAGAATGGAGGAAATGTCATGATCTTGAGGAATCTTTATTTCAGACTATAAAACACCATATATCAATAGAATTCTGGCATCTGACAGAAACTTGTGGTAATTTTTAAAACAAATTTAAGTCACTACTCTCCAGAGGATATTACCACGATATAACCGAATTAACCTGATTGACACATAAATTGCAGCTAAAGAACTTATTTATTTAGGATGCGTGCGCTCGCCAGAGACACACAGAGAGGCATAGCGACAGAAAGTGAGAAATCACTCCCCAGGGGGTTGGCTACACAGCAATCTCTTCTCCTCCATTCTCCTCTCGGGATTTTGGGCACACATGCACATGTGCCCGATGTGAGTTTTAAGCCACCAGATTCAGGACTCAAACTGCAGTCGACTACATGGGAGTCCAGCAACGCTATCATTACGCCATCTGCTGGTTCCCACTGTTGGCAATTTCTTATGTAACTTTTAAGATATAATATATGGGGGTGGGCAAGTGGCATGGTGGGTAAGGTGCTGGACTCCCATGTGACCGACTGTGGTTTGAGCCCCAGATTGGGCAGCTTGCTTTCTCACTTTTCCTCTCTCTCTGTCTGTCTGTCTCTGGTCAAATTTTTAAAAATTAATAATAAAATAAAATAAATTCTGAAAAAGAGGTATATGCATAGGCAGACAAGTCATCTTAATGTATTCTTTTGCAGTGCTTTTATGCAAATAATAGCTCTCACCCACAGTTCTTGATCCTCGCATTTTCTAGCCAACAGTATATCATGGGGAACACAAAGATTCCTTCTCC